TGTGTGTGTGTGTGTGTGTGTGTGTGGGTGTGTGTGTGGGTGGAAGCAACAAAGTGAGAGCCATCTCTAAGAGAAAGTCAGTGTTCATTTTTCAGAATCTACTACTCTGACATGCACACACTCACCTCACACCAGAGTTCATGCTTGTGGTCATAGCTGTATCTCTCTATGGCTGCGTTTGACTCCAGCACAGAGTTCACTCTCATCTCACTCTGCGACTCTGCTCCTTCCACTCGTTTTTCTCCCTTCTTTCTCTTCTCGGTTCTCCTCCCGTTAGCCTGAGGCTCCTCCACAGCGGTCGTCTCCTCCTCCACCTCTTCCACGCCCTGGTCCTCTTTATCCTCTGGGTCATCGCCATTGTCTTCCTCCTCGCTTTCATAGTCCACCTGCAAAATAATGAGCCTGCTAATCTTTCTGGCCTTTTGGTAGCATACTGAACAGGAAGCACATTTCTTTGTGAAATAATCTGATATCAAACATCAAACAAAGGAACGGCCATTTTAATTTTTAAAAGAGGCAAACCTTAAATCAAACTGAACATATCTGAGAATGAAAGTTAATCACAGACCACAGAAACCTCGAGGTGCACGCCCTCACAGACCGAAACTTTCCACCGTACTTCACTGTCTGCGCTCCTTTGTCTTTGCATATGATGTTGATCATCTGACAAACCAGAGGAACCTGACACTGAGGGTTCATTGTGTTAAAGCACATATGTTAAAAATGTGTTTAACACATGTGCTGCATTGGCTCAGATACAACACATTTTGTGTGAATTTTGACACGTTGTTTTAAAACAAAACCCACACTGTGTCCAAATTCACGTTCAATGTGTCCAACACATTTTGTGTGTCATTCTTTAAACACATCCTTTGTAAGATTGTATGAGTCTTACAAGTGTGGCGCATATTATAAACATATAAAACATATAAAAAGTACTGAGTGAAGATTAAAAATGTCATGTGACATTTCACCTCTGACCCCACCTTCAGATCTGAAGGCTAGAGTGACAATAATGTTATACAGCCTTAAAACTATATTTCTTGCTGCTATTGTTTGTACTGACAACATACAGACACACGGGGAAGCACATGTTCAAAAGAGCACATTACTTTGGACGTCTGACTTTTTCTTCAAGGTCAAATAAATAAAAACTACTTAGGAAATGATACTGATATATGAAGATTCCCATGTGACTTCTGACCTCATGTCTAAGTTTCACATCTGTTGTATGTTGTTTTTAGACGTGGGACAGTTTCCAATTTCCTTGTACTACTGGCCTAGGTATGACAGTGCAATTATCTTTCTTTCTTCCAAGCTGACCCCAAAATGTGTTGTGTCTTTAAAGCAGTGTTTCCCAACCACTGTGCCGTGACACGTAGGTGTGTGGAAGATGATCTACTTCCACCTGATTAGTACTCTAAGCCAGAAGTTCCCAAAGTGTGGGGCGCGCCCCCTAGGGGAGGCACAGAGCCATTGCAGGGGAGGCCCTGTATGAATTAAAAAACAAACAAGAAAAACACTTGGACACTGCTAGCATAATGGACAGGCTTTTGACGGGGCTCCCACAAAAACTCAAAGCAGAAGATGAAGCATCGTCAAAAATGTTTCCAAACCAACTTCCTTCCAAGCCAAATACTAGAAAATATGATGAAGCATATCTTTCCTTTGGCTTCACCTGCACAAGGTAGGTCTCATCTGCAGAATTAGTTTCCCCTGCGTCGGGAGCAGCGCTGGGCTCTCCAAATCCTGACAAACAGTATCCCACATTCTGGATTTTTGCAAAGATTTTCTTGTAAAAGAAAGGGGGGCCTAGCAAAAAAAAGTTTGGGAACCACTGTTCTAAGCGATCGGCACGAAATATTCTCTTCCAATAGAGGGCAGTACAACTGCCTGCTCTAATTAAAAGAGCTGCCAACTGCCAGTAAAACAGAAGAAGATGAAGAAGACATAATATAATTACATAATAGCCATGCTGTGAGACCACGCAGCACAGCAATCGATAAATATTTGAAAAGAAAAAGCAGTCAGTCTGACCCGAATCCTGGAGAAAACGCATACCCAGGTTAAGGCCCTAGCATGAGTTGTGGTGTACTGGAGACAAACAGAGCCAATTCCACCATACCTGGTGCACAAGGAAAAATGATCAATACGTTTTTTATGCCATTTTTGTTTGGCGGTGTGATTTTTCTAATGTGAAATATGTGCCGTGGCTTCAAAAGGCTGGGAAACACTGCTTTAAAGTAGTGTGAAGACAAAGAGAATGAGCTGCCTACTTAGTTAGAAATATACTATAGCATCATTTTATATATGATTATATATGATTCTTGTTCTACACACTTTAAGCTTTATCCATCTCTGAATCACTGAACGGCCCAACATGTCTTTGAACTGTGGGAGGAAGGTGGACTACAAGCTAAGCTAAGAAAACAAACATCATACTGGCTAAACAGAAGCACTTGGAAAGGCTTAGGCTTCTACTGTTAAAGTAATGAGTACGTGGAGTGGATCAGTACCAAGCTGTTCAAAAACGACTCCAACTTCATCCCAGCGGAGGACTCCCACACCTCATATTTAAACATCTCACGCACTGTGTCTGGTTTCCTGTTTTGTATCTGTCAGCCTCCCCATGATCGCACACTGGCAGTTGCGACAGGCAGCAAATTGAGTGGGCTTGAAGCACACACACCACATTTCTTATCTTCATACCTCCTCTTCCTGTTTGCCTTTCCTCTTTGCATCCGAAGCGTCAGTATCTCCTTCATTCTCCTGGTCGTCAACGATCTCTCGCTCCTGCTCTTCCTCTCCTTCATCTAACTGCTGAATGTCAATGTGACAAAGGTTTGTTTTTGCAGTGGGAAAGAAAATGTTTGAACACCACATGTGCTGTAAATGCTTCAAAAGAACACTGAATTAAAAAACAGACCCCTCCTGAGGCAGCTGCTCCATTGCCGTCATCATCCCTGTCTCTGGCGGTGGCCCTCCTGGTCTCCACAGCGATGGAGGCCAGCTTGGCAGAGCGCTTCTTTATGGCTTCGAGGAGGAGACGGAAGAACCTGGAAGGACGAAACAAAGCGTGAGGAAGGTGAGGAACAATGACAGTGCTTCCTTTATGGCACAGTGGAACAGACACACACCTGGTTTCCATGTAGTGGAGGATCTGCTGGGGTGACAACAGCCTATCATCAGAGTAGCGCTCTGGAGGCAGGAAATGGAAGGTGATTTTGAACACCCGCAGCTTGTGGTGATTTTCAATTCGCAGCGTCTCAACCACACCCACCTTCTGCAGCACCTGTTCTCACACACACACACACACACACACACACACACACACACACACACAGCTGCAGTGAGTTCCTCCCGCTCATTCCTCACATGCAGCCACAGTTAATGACAGGCAGGATCAGGGAACATGTGCCAGGCAATAAAGATTAGAGGGAGTGAAAATTGGAAAGGTGAATAAATAAACAAATCATACGTGCAACAGAAGTGATTCCTACCTCAGCTAGGCACACCCGGGCCAACTTCTTACGAAGCACTTTCACCCTCTTCAAAGCTCTCTTGTTGTTGAGCACTGGAACGCTCATCATGGGGGTTTTAATGTTGGCGCTGGCCACCATCAGGATCTCTCTCAGACTTTGAGGAGGACACACACAAAATGAGAAACTGAGGGAAGGTATAGTGGAAGGCTTTGACAGACAAAACAAAAGCCTCTGACACAGGAATGCTGCCAGCAACCCGCTGCACACGTAGTGTCACCCAACCTTAATGTGAGTATGAACTAAAAATACAGTTTGCCATTAAAATCCTTTTAAGGGTCTGATTGAGATCCAAACCCTTTACAGACACAGCTAACTGGAAACAACTGTAACGTGTTGGCCCACTCCTCAATTTCATTAAGGAGTGTGCAATTTTGTCCGTAATTCTATTTTGTCAAGCCGCCGTATTGTTGTTCGACTGGTTCAACCAGCAGCTCATGCTTCCTTCGGCCCACACTTCTTCTGAATCAACCAAGTGCAAAAGCTTATTAAAGTGTGCAAAGACTCTCTTAACGGCACTATGACACTGTTGTGCCCCCACATTTGCAATGAGGACGAGTCATTACCGAGGTATTCCCAAAGTGACGTTCATCTCTCCTCTGCCAGCAAAGTGGAAGGTGTTGAGAGTCATCTGGGTGGAGGGCTCGCCTATGGACTGAGCTGCCAGCAGACCCACAGCTTCACCTGGGTCACACAGCGAACGCTGCCACTTATAATGCAGCAGCTGGCGAAGGCTGAGGACAAAAACAGAAAGTTATAGCCTGCACAAGTATCATCTGTCCCAGCTGTTTCCAGCTGTTCTAGGTACATGAGCGTAAAACCCCCTTTGTCTATATTTAGCCTCGAATTACACAAAGAAAGCTTTCATTTTTTATTCACACGTGCTGTCATCACTTTATTTGGTGGTTCTCGTCCTTCGTTTTATTAGAAATGCACTTTTGTGATCTTTCTTTTCGATCAGGTTTTCCCAGGACTCTGTGCATCCCCCTTTAACAGGAACAGTTTTATCAGGCTTTCACATTACTGTGTAGAAATATTTGGACCACTCCTCTTGGCAACCTTACTTTGCTGGTATTTGGCATTTGTTTACACATAGCTCTTGTAAATTTTAGGCAGATTCACGTGTGGACTTTGAGCGCTTACCAGCACTTTATCTTTTTACAGCTGCTCGCTTTTAGATTTGCTGCTGTGCTCTGAATGCTGCTCTGTTGCATAACCCTATTTTGGCCAAACTGTCAGTCTAACCCTCTAAGAGCAGTTTGTATACACAGTTTGTGGTCAGCTCGATCACTGCAAGGTGCTCAGGTCCTGTGGCTGCAACTGGAAATGATCACCGCTCCACCACTTTGTCTGATGCTTGTCCTGATATGATGTGTTGCATTTTATGCAGATGCAGCTTTGCTAACCAATGCTGTGGTTCTTTTGTAGAGAGAAGAAGGGTTTTCCGGGAAGCCAAACAAGCCTTTTAGTATGTTTCAGTCTGAACTCTCATGAACTTTAACAATTAACATGGTAACTGGAGACTGTAGAGTCTACGATGTCGCTCTTGGGTGTTTTTGCGGTTTCTATGAACATTGTATTCCTTTGCTATGATGTTTCTCTGCTTTTAGATGTGCTCACACTAGTTCATGATCATTAAATGAAGTGCTTTTGATCAGCACAGCACAGGCATTCTCTAAAACTGTAATAGGTATTTGTCCCCATTTGAATACTCAGACACTGAATACCTACCTGTGTGTGTCCAGTCTGTCTTGGTTCACAGTGTCTCTGCTCTGCAGGTATTTCTCTGTGATGCCATGAAAGTTTTCAGAGATTGATCCAAAGCAGACATCAGGCCTAAACAGGCCCAGCGACGGCTCCGGGCAGCGGGAGGACTTCCTGCAGTATTTGGATCTGCTAGCTTCATCCAGAGTATGCCATTGTTGTACAAGCTGTGAAGTGAACAGAATTCAGTACGCTGTTTATTTCGACTACATTGGAGGTCGGGAGTTCACGTTATACAATATGTGCGGAGGAAGAGCAAACGTACCTGCAGCACAGCAGGATTTCTGCCACAGTCGGCCTCTACTTCATCAGTCTGTTTTAATTTTCCCAGCTTCTTCTGGGAAAAAAGCAAAAACGCTCCTGGCAGAGATGAAAACATGGAAACACAAACATTAGTTACAGAGGCAATGCACAAATATGCAGGCAACTATTCACTGGACTCTCCTGATGAAGTTGCTGCTATGGCCTACAACAGTTCAAAGTGGTAATTTAGACAATTTTTTACTTTTTCATACAAAAAGAAAAACAAAATCATGTTTTACAATCAAACTGTGTGATTGGAAAGAGTTGGACAGACATGTCAACCATCAGCACTGGTCCAAGATTTTACACTCGGTGCATCTCGAAAGTATCATTCAGGCAAATATGTGGGAAATGATTCCCCTGCAAAGACAAACATTTTTACATACCACTCCGTGAACATGCTAACTCTCTCTTTGCTTTCCAGCGCTGGATGGCAGCAAAGTGCTTAGTGGCACTTTGAGGGTCTAAACGTGCCAAAACCTCATCCAGGCCCTGCGACCTCCTGATGACCTGGCAGGAAGGGAAACACACGTCTGCTTCATTCAAACTGGCATTGTACACAGGAAGTCATTTGCTTTTTGCACGTCACTGTCACCTTTTGTTGCTCGCTGGCAGACATTCAAGCACCAGCTGCCTTGGTGTATTTGTCACTCTGACAATTTTACTATCCTGTTATATCTAAATCACCAAAATCTGGCACACGCGTTTGTAGCCGCTTCAACTGATCGCCTCGAAAGGGAGGAAAGTGTATCTCGGGACTCGCCGGCTGTTTATTCGCTCGTCATTTCTGGAGGTCACTGACTTTGTGCTGCAAATCACTTCTTATGGTGGAGGCTCCTTAAAGCTGTGTCCACGTAAGAAGCAATTTCAGACAGATGTGGTGACCAGAGACCATTGACATTTACTCCCAATATACATGGTGACTACCAATGTGAGCGCAGGATAATCACGCATGACAGGTTAGAAAATATAGTAGAAGGTTACCTAGGCAACCGGAGTCTGCCAAGCATCAGCTTGAAAGAATGGCGCAATAAACAAATCAGTTCCTGTCTGCTATGGCGTTATCTTTCTGCCTCTATTCTGAGCCCACGTAAAAATATTTGCAAGTGCAAATTTTGCATTTTGAGAAGAAAATTATTTTGCGTAAAAAAAAGTTTAATTTGAGCAAACAAAATTCATTTCTGTGTGCAAATGTATTTGACTGTTTGCTATTATCCATATACACACACAATAATGTGTGTGTATATGGATAATATATATATGTAATATATATGTGCCACAAAACGTGATTGGTTGGTTTTGTGGCACACTTATAACGGCGTACAGAAAGAGTTGAGTGTGCACGGAGGAAAGCTGCTGAGAGCGCGAGCGACACACTGAGAGCAGGTGTGCAGATGTCTGTGAGCACACAGAGCAGAGATCTGAGCGAGAGGGGCTGTTATTGCATATATATATGAATATTAGCAAACACTGAAATAGACTTCTTGCACGCAGCAATGAATTTTGTTTCCTCAAAATAACTTTCTCCTCAAAATGCAACATTTGCACTTGCAAATATTTTTACGTGTGCTCAGAATAGAGGCACTAAAATATTAACGCCATAGTCTGGGCGCATTCAGATTAATGTGGCTTAGCTTTCTTTTTGTAGCTTCATGCTAAACTAAGCTAACAGTTAACAAATATTTATAGTTTTGTTAACAGCTGGGTTAATACAACAAATCGTCATGGAAACTGCAGAGTATTATCTGAGTTGCTGAGCACTAATGTGCTTGTATGCAGTACATATTTATCCCCCACCGAGGCCCATGACCTGCTCCTTCACTGTAGCAGCCATTTTGGCCAGTACCAACCACAGAGGGGGGAGCACTGAATTTGGCTGCGATCTTCCACAGCACTATCACAGTGAGCTGTAATGTGGCTGTGAATCAACAAATGGTTTGTGTGCAAAGTTAAGGTTGCAGTTAACAAGTCGCAGTTGATGAAACACTGAGCCAGCCATGCGTGTATCATCAGCCATGGCTGGTAAAGTTTAGCTTTGCAGCACTACCTTGATATGTGGACCGTCTCAGAATACCATTCACATCCTCGCTGTGTTCGTACCTCATAGTTGTCTTCTATGAAGGGGAACTGTCTTGGTTGCAGGAACTGAGTTTTGGGGATATCTAGTCCGTCCTCGCCGTACAGGAACTGGACCACAGAGCCATCGCTGTCTCTTACCGTCAGGTCGTACTGCACTACCAAACCCTCCAGATGTTTTATGACACATCTGCAGAGGAAATGGTTTGAAGAAGGCAGAGGGGCAGATGTGCCATATTAATGACCTTACACTGTGTTTGAAACACCTGCGTTTGATATTCTCTGCTGCTCACTTCCACACATTGCCACAATCTCATATCAAAACAGGGTTTCTGGTTACAAATCCTCATCTCTGTTTGTGTTCACTCCAAAACGAAGACTAATGCTTTATCCGACCATGCTGGCATGCAAAGAGATTTACAAAGATCACAGCAGTGCACATATGAATGCTGTTCAGAAATCCTGTGAACTCAGATTTGAATAATGTTTCATTTGCACAGCACTCATTGCCAGCCAAAGCAACAGTGAGTAAAATTTGTATAATATTTGCATTTCTTGCCACAGACAGACACAGGGAGCATTTCTGTGTTTTTTGGGGCTTGTGTTAGTAAAACTTTTGTTACCTCTGCAGATATCCTGATCTGGATGTTTTCACGGCCGTGTCGACCAGTCCTTCTCTGCCAGCCATGCAGTGGAAGAAAAACTCCTGAGGACGAAAGAAATGCATCATGAAGGAAGAAAGTATTCAAATCCTGTGCTGTGCCACTCCAGACTCTGATCAGGTGCCTCATATTTGTCTTTATTATCTTTCAACTGTGCCCAACAGAAGCAGAGTTTACTTTAAAAAAAA